CTGCGACTGCGAAGAGCAACATCCTCCAGAATTTCTAGAATTTCTAATTTCAAGAATTTCAAGAATTTCTAATTTCTAGAATTTCTAGAATTTCTAGAAGTTCTAGAATTTCTAATTTCTAGACTTGCTCAGGGAGAAATGAGCATAGGACCCTGGGGCCCTGCGGGGCCTGATGCAAATGCCACATGTCCGCCGGCTCACTGTACGCTCGAGGTCGAAGATCCAGAGCATCCCCAAAGTCCTCGATGCAACATACCGCATATACTATTTACACTATATATATATATATATATAGTATACATACTATATATACTCTATATATTTATATATACCATATATACCATACATACCATATATATATATATATATATATACCAGGGCCCAGAAGACCCACGACAGGAGTGGGATTGCTGTAGAGCCCCAGGACCCCTTTGATGCCCTGCGGGGCGGGGTTCGCCATGGCCTCGTACTGCCAGCACGGCAGGGTGAAGGATGGTGATGACGTCATCGACTGTGCAGCAGTTCCCGTTGCCGTCATGAGCAGCACCACTGCAACCGCTGAAGAGCGGAGCCCATCTGCGCCGTCAGCCCTGGCCAAACGTGTGTGCACTATGGGAGCCGAGTGCAACGGAATGATTGTTTGCGCAGGAGCCGTTTTCTTGACCAACCAGTTCTGGTGTTCGTTGATGTTCGCATTGGAACTGCGAACGCTACAGCAGCCGGATGGGGAAATCTGAAGGGCGGTGCCACGCAGATTTTCATGGTTTCACGGCTGTTCCATCTAATGGTTAATTCTGGCGTGGCAGCGGACACTGCTCGGCGAGTGTACATGATCGTGCCGGCCATTCTTTTCCTTGTCACTGCGGTGGGCTTGAAGCTGCTGTGCTGGGACACCCCTACAGCAAAGAGGCTCGACGTGTCCGTGACGGGCACCGCCAAGACACCATCCTTGTGGAACTACTTTGAAGTGTTGAAGGACTTCAGGGTAGTTGTCATTATCATGCAGTATTCGGCATGTTTCGGCACAGAGGTGGCGATGCACAACCAGTGGGCCTAGCAGGAGCATTTTGGGTTGATGTACTGCAAGTGCGCCTTCGTCCGCTATTATGTCGGAAAGGATATGGAAGTGAGAATGGTACAAGAGAGCACGAGCAAGCCGGTGCTGACGTGAAGCAATCGTTGAGCGGCTGGGCCAAGCAGCCGTAGTCCAATGCAAACAGACGTCAAGTTGTAAATTCAAACGGTGAAGGGGCTAGGATTGTAAACTTATTTGCCCTTCACCCTTTGCTGCATGGACCATCCATGACATGTCTCGGATCTTGTGATGGTCAGAGTGCAGTGTTGTCCTGAGTCGTCCAGTGAGAACAACTTTTGATGTATTGCTCGCTGGCGGTGATCTGTTGTCCGACGGCTTTTGCATGTGTTTTTCTTCGTAGTGCTTCTTCTGTGTCGCACAGTTGTAGTTGTTTCGTTAGGCCCTGGAGCGCAATGCACTTTCCAGCGGCCTGGCATGAGGGCTCTTGGGGAAGGGATCGCCTCTTTGGAGCCCGTTGTGTAGGAAAACCCTTTCACCCGCAGGACTTGTAGGCCGTTGGAGTGCGCATGAGTGCATACCAGGCGTTGTCCCTGGATTTCTGTTCCATGCGATTTCAGTTGTGTCGGGCTTTTGGGAACGACTTGGCTGTAAGCTCCAAGGATCGCCCGCTCGACGGGGGGCGTCCACGCAATGGATCACTCTGCCCGAAAAGCGAGAAAAGCGATATATATATATATATACCATATATACTGTATATATACTATATATATATATATATTATATATACACACACTATATACACAAAAAATTGGCAGTCGCAGAAGACATCTCAGTGCCGCGGAACCGTCGAGGTGATGTCGATGAAGGTGGACTTGAGGGTCAAAAAGGCCATGCTTGGCCGGGCCTCGCAGGTTCTCGCGCTTCGGGCACCGCTCCGCTGGCAGAGAGCCGCGCCTTCGGAGCTGAGGTGGTGACGAAGAGCACAACTAACTCCAGCTTGAGCCCCAAGAAGCTTCAGGGTCAGCTGAACATGAAGTGACGCGCATTCTTCAGACAGACCGGCGCTGTCGGCATCCTATGGAGGCATGCGATTCAACATGGTGTATGTAGCCGTCAACTCCATCGAGTCTACTGGTACGGAACATGTGCCATGGCTATGCGGCAGCCAAGTCCAAGAACAAGCAGCACGCCTTGTTGGGCAAGGCGCGGAAAGAACTCAACAGCCCAGTTCCTGCTGCCAACGTGAGTTCGGACGTGCTACCTGCTACAGTTCTGGCTGCAGATGCCGGCGGAGCTGTTTCCAGTATAGGAAGATGGGAGTTTCCGAAAACTCCCAGACGGCCTTCCGTTGTTATGGCTGTTCATTCCGTGGAAGTGCAGCAGCACGGCCTGACAAAGGAAAGCCAAGTATCGCAAGACTCCGCACGCTTGTCACTCGTCCTCCCCCGACTGGATCCCTTGGTCTGCCCATTCCGGAGCTTTGCTTTGGGTGGTGGCACCTCCGAATCCGAGTTCGTCCTCCTGTCCGCCACCTAACCTTGCTGGATTCCTGGAACCCTGCCTGTCGAAACACCTGTTGCCAACCTTTCCACGACAGCAGAAACACGAGCCAAGGGTGTAACGCGGCACCGACAGTCCCAAACCGGCAAATGTAGCCTACACAGGATCTGTGAAGGCGCTACGACGGTAAAAGAAACACACGGCAGCACAAACACAAGAGGGGCAGCTAGAGAATGTCTTGTCAGGGCGCACCACAGTACCGCAAAGCTAGCCCGTGCTGTACATGATCTGTAAAGCGCGCTATGATGATATGACCAAACGAAACACAGCGGCAGAAACACAACAAACTCACCATGTCCAGTCGCCCGCCTTGGCCTTCAAGGCAGAGGGATCGCTCGGTGGTACAACTGCGCGCACATGCCTTGCAAAGAAGAACGTCAGAGCGACGGCGGGCGATGCTTACAAGTCGCATCTCTCCGAGGAACCGACAGCCTGTGTCCGGATGGAGCCTGGCAGACCGTCGCTTCTACAATCGACTTAGGACAGTTGTTGTCAAAATGCGGCTGTAGTTGCGTGCCGCTTCATGTGGCAAAAGAAAACCAGGCTTACAGATACATACCAGCAAACGCAGGAGTTTGGGGTTGCATGCGTGGATTCCTAAGAAGAGTACTAGCGCGCAGACTTTTCAGCAGCTGCTGTCCGAAGAACTGTCGCTGCTGCTGCTACTGCTGCTGCTGGACTCTTGGCGGGAATGCAAGATGTCCCGCTGCCGCTGCTTGGGCTGGAGCCCCCGCAAGCTTCTTGTGATAGCTCGCCAGACGCTTCTCGAAGCGATTCATCCCCTCATTCGGATCATCCGGCATCTTGTCGACTAAAAAATCATAGCGGGGCATAATGGTGTCCTGCTTTTAAGTTTTATGAAGACCTGCCGGCGCACACGAGTTAGGAGCAAGTTACGCGAAAGTTACTCGAAAGTTACGCTGAAGTCGGAATGGAGGCGCCCGGCAACTGCAATCCGACGAGCTTGAAATCACAAGATTGTTCCCTGTGATGGGCCAGGGTCTTCCAAGGCAGGTTGCGTTGAATCTTTGCTAGCGCCCACCTAGCGCGGATCTAGCGCACTGGCCTCTCTTACAAATGCCTAAAAATGACCTCGCTGCAAGCTCGGATGAGGCGGAACAAAGGCAGCGAGGCAGAGAACTCCTGAAGACACCTACAAGTACTCTTGTTACGACAACAACGAGTGCTGTTCAGCTTCGGATATCTTCGGGTTTTGAAGATGCATGGCTTTAGGTTTTCTTTGCAGATCCTGCGGGTTTGGGGGGCTTTGGTAAAACTAATGGTCACGTCTCTCTTGCCGGGCCAAGGTTCACGTGCGCCCGATGGTGCATTCATGGCTTCCAAAGCTTCAGCTTGAGCAAACGACATCATGCGGTTCGATTCCCGCCTAGCGCGAATCTGGCGGTTTTCCCAGCGCCAACTTCGGTAATAAGTGGCTCTACTTGCGTGCCGCCTCATAGCGAAGAGCAAAAAAGATACACCGACAATGAAATAATGTCAATTTACATGACTCCACCCACACGCGAATTTAGAACGCAACCCCGTTAGGAAATGCGGCCCCAGCATGAACACAAAGCTCTGCAGAAGCTCGTGTGGTTTTTCAATGGCATGTAACTTGCACAGAGAACAGCTTCTCAGATTCGTGTCAAAAACCAAGTTGCGCAATTTTCACGACACTGTCATAGTTCAGACGATCGGTCAAGAGCACTAAGGCACGCATGAAGACTGTCTTGCGATCACACTGGTGATAGCGACCGCTCAAACATGGCTCAACTACTGTACACGTACGAAGCCTGCTGACTCACACCGCTTGCAGGGATCACATCCACACTAGCTTAATCCTCCATGCCGGACACGTTTCTATCTGCCTCTGTCTCTTGGCTGTCTCTGCACAACAGGTTCAGACCTTCTGCCGACAGTTTTGATCTGTTTTCTCTTACCTCAGCTTGAGGATTTCCAGCTCAGTGCCTCGAAGAAGCCGTCCGTCTGGGGCATCCTCAGCACTCAAAGGGAGAGAAGAACTCAAGGGATGGTAAGTGGTTGTTGAAAAGATCCTGGGGAGGCCGACAGCCAGGAGTCCAGTTTGCTCAGTATCTCTTCCTTGCTCTGGTCCTGTCACATCTGCAGCATCTCCAGTGCAAAAAAGCCATCGTACCTCGGCAAAATGTCCTTGATGGACTGTACCCACACATCCTCCTCCTGCAAAACGCATGGGTTCAGTAAACCTTCCCTGTATGAGGATGCAGCCGAGCCAGCCCAGCCACCTCAGGAGTCATCTGTTGGTGAGTGGGGCAACAAAGGTCCGCTACTTTGAGCAGGAAACGCGGGCAAACGGCTGCGACAGGAAGTGAAGAGGCTTGAATGCCTTGAATACCAAAAAAACGAAACCAACAAGCCAGGCCACACTCAGCTCGCAGAGCCTGCCAAGTGAGTGCAGTAGTCCCACGGTCCCGCTGCGAACTGCGAACAAAAACCTTCAAGTTTGACCTCTTCGGCAAGCGACCGTGCACCAGGAAACGGTGGCGAAGACCGCCTAGACTGGTGCACGCAAGCATCGAGCCCAAGCGCGCCTACCAGAGTTGATTCCCAAGCACCGGACACAGAACACAGCACAGCACATGACAATCAAGCCAGATCTTGCAAGAAAAGGTAAGCAACACGAGAAAGACTGTTCACCACACCAGGCACGAGACATCTTGGTCTGGTCTTGGGAGCTGGCCAGGATGCAGGCTGCCCCTAGCAGAGTCTCACAAAGGACCCAAGGAGTCCAGGCAATCCGAAACTCAGGGAGAGACGTAAGCACGCAGAGCAGGAGATGGCGACTCTGTGGCACCTTTTGGGGCTTTGGGGCATCAGGAAAGGTTTAGGGTTTAGGGCCTTTGGGCTTCTTATGACCTCTTTCCAACATCTGCTTGCAGCGCAGGAGCTGTAACTCTCTGGGAGCGGGATCGTGGGGTGCACAGCGACGGGCGTGTGCTGGGCTTGGGTGTTTTGCGCGGACACCGGCAAATAGCTGCTTTGGCTGCCGTTGTGCAAGTCCGAGGCCCATCTTTTCTCTGATCCCGCTTGCAACGCCTCCGCTGGCCGAGCTGTTTGCGCCCTGCCCTGCAACCTGGCCGAAAAGAAGGAAAAGGCACACAGCACACGTAGAGCCACATAGACACAATAATTCGAAACAACAATGCCGACCACAAAGGTGTTCAGTGCCTTGCTCCCGATGAAACGTCACGGTCTCGCAAGAATCTTGCAGGAGAACCTGCACCTGGGACAGGGAATGCTTTGCCAAGCTGAAACCTCCTTCTCACCTGGCCAAACGCACCGCCAAGTGTAGAACGGCTGGTTTCAAGAGTTCTCTTCACCACACTGATCCAATCACCGAAACCGTCCCAAACGCGACCTTGTCGCGGTCTGGAACCGAGTTGCTGTGTCAGACCTGCAGGCGCTCTGCGAGAATCTGCGACATCGTGCGATGTGCGACCCCATGCTGTCGTGATACGCCCTTTTCTTTTCTGAAGCAATCTGGGAGTCTAGGGCCTAGGGCACGAAACGACTCCGTATCGACAGCGAATCTGCCTAGCCTTACAGCCAGTACGGCGCTGCATCTCGGTGGCCCGGAACCGAGAACTGTACTCAGAGCTGCTGCCCTGTCGCGACACGTTCCTGCCCTCGAATGCTCTCCGAGCTCCAGCAAAAGCTACCGTCTCACTCTTGGATTGTCACCGCTTCCGTGCCAGGCAAGAACTCGTCCGCGCCCACCACAATATCTCCCAGGAATCTGTGGATACTCCGCACTCCTTCCAGGTGTCCTGCAAAGCAAGAATATACCCACTGCTGCTTTGAACTACTCTCAACATTGCTTGCCGTCTCTCTTTCCTCGGCAGCGCCGGGACCCAGGGCCGAACCCCTGCATGGGGTGCTGTCTCTTTTTCTGGCTTTTGCTCTCTCCTCTCTCTCCCTCTCTCTCTCTCTCTCTCTCTCTCTCTCTCTCTCTCTCTCCCTCTCTCTCTCTCTCTCTCTCTCTCTCTCTCTCTCTCTCTCTCTCTCTCTCTCTCTCTCTCTCTCTCTCTCTCTCTCTCTCTCTCTCTCTCTCTCTCTCTGTCGTCCGGCGCATGATCTTGGCAGAAATGCCTCTGGCCCCGTGTCCTGCTCGTCCATTGAATGAGGATACCCCAGATTCCACTACCCTCGTCTGAAACAAGGCATAGAACGAGTCAAGAGCCTGTCAGGTTGATTTGGATGCCTTCAACCACTCCCTGATCCCTACCGCGGTACTGCACTGAACGATGCTCCCATGTGCTTGCCATGTAGCTGTCGCCAAAACACAGTAGTCCTGAAAACCGCACGTGTTAAGGGGACAACACGACATGTCTCTGAGCAGTCGGCATATAGCGAAGAATACTCTTCCGGAAGGGTCCGTGTTTATGCCAGTGATGACCACCTCGTCTATCTTGTGTTCGCGAAGGTGGCGTTCCAGGTCGGCACCGCCACCAAAGCAAGAATACCTGTCTGACTTTGAAACATTGACATACCATTTCACGAGTTCGCGGTTGGAGTCACAGCACCCTGCTGCTTTGAACAACCAGCAGCTCAGGACGGGGCTGATACTTTTTCACAAACTCCTTGCAAAATGGAATACCAACAGCACAAGGACTCGGACGCTGCTCCAACAAGCCTCGCTGCGGTCGAGGCACAAGTCCTAGGCCTCGCAACTCAGGGATCAGCTCGGCACCAGGGGTCCCTGCCCGGCCGATGTCCGGGTACATTTCTGCCAGGGAGGAGGTTGGCCCACCTGACAGCTCAGGGATGCTAAGGGCTGCATTGCCATGAGTCCACCCGCAGGCCTTTCTCGAACCAAAGGTGCGAATCGATCAATGCATCCTTGCTTGCAAAGGGTGCGGGAAACCTTCGAGCGCATGTCACCGGTCACGTGTCTACCGTCGGCCAAGCCACGAACTGCCCATTCTGCGCTAGGTTCCTGATGGTGCTGATGACCTCCTTCTTTCTGTAAGAGATATTCGCAACCTGCTCCCAAAAATGCTGTCACATCAGGCCAAGGCCCTGATACAAACGGCCTCCGCGCCTGCTCCACAGTCATGTCCACGACCACCAGGGCCCGCCGCATCGCGGCATCCGCTAGGGGCAACAACAGCCAAAGGCCCTTCATCTCCTCATCTATCTTTTCCAGCCAAGCGCTGCGGAGCGCGGCAACTCTTCTAGTTCAGCCTAGACTGGTCCAGATGCCACCAGCAACGATTTCCCTTGCCTCGGGACAGAGCTGGCCCGTCCGAGGACCTGTGCAAGATGGCTGTCTCTGCAGTGCCTCTGCCGGACTCCAGCGTAAACTGCAGCTAGGCCACAGCAAGCCATTGAGGAGACCATCCTCTATGAAGCACGACAGACATCTTCATCGAATTTCTGACTGCAAAGGGGCAGCAGCACCCTAAACCCTTTTGCAGCCGGCCTGCAGCCACTCTACCGGGAAGCATCGCTTAAAGAGGTGGGTAATCGGTATCGGTTGCTGCACCCTAAACCCTAAACCCCAGAAGCCCAAAACCCTAAACCCCTAAACCCTAAACCGCTGTAGATCCGTTAACGGATCCCTTAAAGGAACCCTTATAGATCCCTTTCAAGGATCCCTAACCCTTCCATTCTCAGCAGTCTGCCACAGAGTCGATCTCCGCCTGCAGGAACCGATCGCGCGGGCTCGTCCACATGAGACCTCAGAAGCAAAGGCCACGTTTGTCACTCCCGAAAATATAAGAACAATAACGATAACAATACTAATCGTGATAATAGACATATTAATATTAGTAGTAATAAAAATGATAGTAATAATAGTAATAAATGCAACCATACTAGTAATACTGATGATGATAAACAGCTCCTGAAACACTCAAGGCAGCTGGGCAACAGACTTTGCTCATGGGAACCTCTCCCTTGTGCGTCGGCACAATACCACAGACTTCAGAAATGTCCCCAAATCCCTTGCTATTATTATAATTGTTATTGGTATTCTCATTATTTTTACTATCATCAGCAGTATGATTACTAATTACTATTACTATTGTAATAATTCTGCCTACTTTTTACAATAAAAGTTGCACTTCTATCAGATTTAGGAACGGGATTCGCAAGCTGAGACACTGTATGCGATTGCTAGATCGATAATGTGGAGCCACAATCAGCACATGCAGAGCGGCGGTGACCAGAACTTGTGACGGTAAGCCGAAGAGGAGGTACCACTTTTTCACAAGCGTCTGCTCAAGCTGCAGTAGCACGAGTATGTGCTCAAGCTGCGGTAGCACAAGTATGTCTGGGCAACACAGTCTACAAGCTGCTCCTCAGCAGCCATCCAGACTTCAGGACCAGTTCGGCAACTTGTCGGATCAGTGTCAGGTCGAAGCAGTCCGCACCGGCTGCAGACTGCACAGACTTCATGTGGACAGACATGCTGCTAGCCTGACAGCTTTCGCCATCCCGCCACCGCCTGGCTGCGGATGCGGGACTCCATGTCGATCCAGACCGACGCATCTCTGTGATCCTCCTGCCAAGGACGCAGAGAAGGCTCGGGAGCCGGGGCCTTGGACACGCGGGGACCGAAGGCTGAGCTTCTGATTGTAGCTTGGGAAGTAGAAAGCAGCTGAGGAAAGCAGCGCATCGCATTCGCCAGGTCTTGTCCTAGAGTAAACTCTAAGGGTCTCGTGGCCAGTGCTGACTGGACTTCCAGCTGATGTGGGTTGGACAAGCGGCTGAGACGGCTGCCTCGGATAAAAAATGTGAAGTGCTTGCGGAAGCTTTGATGAAATCTCAAACCTTCCGAAAAGCATGTATACATTTTTAATTGGTTGTTTTACGAATTTGTTTACATATTTATACACCATGTAATTAGATCATATCCCTGGTCCTCGCAAGCTTCAGCCATGCGCTGCAGCTGCTGAAGGACCGTGTCTGGCCCCAAGCCACCAGCGAAACCAAAGCGTCGTACAACTGACCAGGCAGGGTTTGGCGTTTAGGGTCTTGGGGTTTAGGGTTAAGGGACCGAGCTCGGTAATGCCGGAGGATTGATGATGGCGATGACGACGATGAGGATGGCGATGATGTTTGCTGCTTCTGCCATTGTTCGCTTTTACTGCGCCGTTACTGTTACTGCTGATGCAAGCCGTGCCTGCTGCAACGACTACTACCTCTGGTACGACGAACCAACGACGGAGGACGACTACTTCTACCACCACCACTTCTACAACAACTACTGCCACCATGACCACCACCACCACCACCACCACCACCACCACCACCACCGCTTCGCGGCTATGGATACGACGGAGACAGGTACGACGGCGCTCTGCACAACGACAACTACTGTCCAGCAGCAGCTGCTGCTGCTGCTGTTGCTGCTGCTGCTGCTTCTGCGGCTGCGGCGGCGGCTGCTGCTGCAACCACTACTTGCACCCCCGACCTCAACCGGTACTGCTGCTGCTGCCACCACCACCGTCGCCACCACCTTCAACCCCACCTATCGCTGCCACTGCTGCTTGCTCTGCTCTCACTGCGACTTCTGCTGACTACCATGGTTTTGGAATGAGGGATGACCTTGGTTACCACTAGACTGGGACGTTCACGTGAGCATTGTGCCTTTCGGTGGCGCAGACCAGCGGCCAGGCGCCACGCCCAGGCCGCAGGAGGCATCGAGCAACACTGCCAAGTTGGGCCTCCGGTGTACAAATAGCACAAGCGTGCATAAATCCCGTCCGAGACCTGGCCGTTAAACCTTGGTCACTAAGTTCGATTCCCGCAACTCTTGCGCCGCAAGCAAAAAACTGAGCCGTTCCTGAAACATATGCTAGTCGATACCATGGCGGCATGCAAACACATGTCTAATGCGCGGAAGACACACATCAAGTTTACGTGAAGCAAGAACCTGAAACACTGCGAACCAACCAGATGTCCTCGCCTGGGATGCCTGGCGTCATTCCCAGACACTCAAGTCGCTTGGCACATGTTGTTGCCCTGGTGGCATTGATCTCATCTGACACCCTTACCTCGGAACCTCTCAAGTTATTTTCTACCATGTTCCTGAGGATGCAACCCTCGAGCAGCTGGATTAAAATGACAGGTTTCACCAGAAGTTGTTGCATTAAGGCGAAGGCGGCGGAGGCTCGGTCGACTGGAAGAGGGACTTGAAGAGCTCCTCTGTTTCCTGAAGACACGAGAAGTCTCTCCCTCCTCACATGACATGCAAATATGATATTACACTTCGGCGTAGGCATTTCGTATTCGCGGTTCTGCAGCGATGCTGTACATCATGGACTCGGCTGCTGATTCTCCAACTGACACAACATCTTTGATAACACCGCCGGGTCTGCAATGATTCAAGCTGCACCCAGTATCAGAAGCACTTACATACTCACAATCATACTCAACGGTTGACTCTTTGGTGGAGCATTGCCAAGGACAGCAGGCCCTGACGTGTTGCGAGATACTGAAAATGGTGGTCCCATGTCATCAACTGACACCCTGTGGCTTCTGGGCGATTTGGTCAGCAGCAGAGCAGTTGCTTGCAAGCATGTCCTGTGGCATCTACATTGCAAGTTGGAGGATGTCAGCATCTACGCATGCTTCTCCTAGACAAAAAACATGATTTTCTGCGGATCTTGGACTAGGGTTTAGGGTTTAGGGTTTTGGGTTTAGGGTTTAGGGGTCAGGGTTCAGGGTTTAGGGACCGCGTTGACAGCGCAGATAGCGCAGAGTCTGGAGTAAGCAGTTGTGTCTACCAGCATGAAACCGTTGGAACTCTTGATTGCCAGGCTGCATCGTTCACCTGAAGAATGAACTCCACGCTTGGCAGTGCAGATGCCAGAGTGCGGAGACCGCGGGCGGCCCCCTCCGGCTGCCAGTCAGATGCCAGGTTTGCCTGAGTCCAGGAGAGTCGACGTCTTTTCCGATGCAGGGCCCAGTACGGTGCAGTGCTCCCGCCTTAGTCGGATTGAGCTGTGCTCGCCCGAAGCCCAGAAGTGCGTGCAGCCCCGAGATGTGGCCGACGTCACCAGCGAGCGCCCTGGCAGACTATGAGCTTCCTCAACTCGGCTTTAAAGGCCTTGCAGATGCTGGCAAAGCTGAAATAAGCTAAAGCAGCCTGAGGCAATCCTGTCCGCAAAGATGGGCTGCCAGGCGAAGCTTTGCCCCTGGAAGATGCGGATCCTCACCTGACAGAGCGACGGGGCCGAATGCGGAGCATCTTCCATCTTTGTCATCCCAGCTTCCCCACTCCCACTCTGACGTATCCCCAGTGGCCTCGCGCCAGCATGCCCAGCCGCTTCAGAAGCGCAGGGGAAGCATAGCGCGGTTCTCCTTGTCGATCTGGTCGCAAAAGCACACCCCACTCGATCCTGAGGTGAAGAGGCTCACCACCCTTCTTACAGAAGCTCTCTCTCAACTACAAGCTCTCTCATTGCATCACGGGGTCCAATGTCCGGGAAAAGCCTGGTCCAATCTTGCCAGTTCTGCCCTCGGCTCGAGAGGCCCCAGGCAATCTCCGAGAGGCCCGGGAATTAGCGGGGGTAGGTGCGATGAGTGGACCCTAAATAACCCTGAACCCCATAAACCCTAAACCCTTAAAAACCTAAACCCTAAAGCGTACGGTTGGCCTGGCTTTCGAACCTTGGGTCCTCTTCAGCTCTTGGCCTAGGCGCAGGTCCACCGAGTCGTCCACACCGCAGAAGCCCACAGTGTGGAGCTTCATGGCTCAGCTTGGCGTAGGCTTTCTGACTTTGAAGCCTTCATAAACTTTCAGGATTTCACAGCTTCACAATGTATTGACTGGGGTGCTAAGCTAGTGGAGGATTAGGATGGCAATGCCTAGCTGACTCGGCAGATGACCTTGTGGCGACAGAGAAGCACATGTGCCCAAGTCATATCTCAGCACTACAACACTGATAGTAAAACAGACAAGGCACTAACCATCACCACCCTCATCAGAAGAAGGGTAGCCATTGTGGTAGAAATGTTCTGAAGTTACCAACCCATTTGCAGAATCCATTGGATCCGACCGAGGGCTTTTTGGAGGCGTCTTTTGGAGTTACAGGCCGGCATACCCCCTTGCGCCAAAAGACGGCGCTTTAAAGCCGCCTTTGAATGGCATTTCAGGGGCGTGAGAGCTGAGAGATCGAATCTCACTCTGTGAGATGGACTGCAACGAGGAATCTTCTGCGATTTGTGGATCCTGCACACAATCAGCGCAGGGACCGCACCGATCGAACACTGTTCGACGTGTGAAACAGCAGACTTCCAAGCAATTGCCAGGAAAGTCGTTGTGTTTAGCTGGAGCGAACTGGTCTGCACGGTAACGGGTTGCTGATTCGTTTACCGTCAAGGACAAAAAAAGGGGTCCGCTGCAGGCAGAGCTCCAACCCTGGATCTTGCCCATATGCAATGATAAGAGCCGTGACTCAGGGCGCACGTGAGTACCGACCCAACATGAGGTTGCTGCACTTCACTGCATGCTGCCTTAAGAAGTTGAGGTGCCCCTGAGTGGTGAGAAACGACCGGGAAGTCCGAAATCCATGCCCGCATAGACATGCACTTGCCATTCTTGGAACGACTGAGAACCAGAAGGCGACACATCAGGTTCCCAAGGCTGTGCGTCAAAGATTCTGGTCCCCCCGGCCATGACGTTCTGGCATGCACTGATGCAAAAACCTGTGAGGTCTTGCGAAAAGTACTGAAAGGAATGGATTGGTCCTACGACAAGAGACCGTGCGTGGACAGAGGCTGTACTGCTCCGCGCACAGCAGGGCCACATAAATGTCAGCACTCGCGTACACTGTCTTCACTATAACGCTGCAAACGCTGAGGTTGATACGGTGTGCAAAACATGTTAAACCTCTGGGCACACTGACGGGGCTCACGCGACTGGAGCCCCGTTCAGTGCTTGTGCTGAGCATGTGCTGCTCTTTCGAAAAATCGGGCCCCTCTCGGAAGATGAACTCTTCCTTTTCCTGGGTCTCCCAAAAGCAGGTCGCTGGACCTGAGCAAAGGACCCAAACTCAAGCCGTCTTGCGATGCGAGCATCTGCAATCGCAACATGATTAGGGGTACCTTATTTTGGGATCCTTGTCATAAGGATCCTATTATTTAGAGTACCATATTAGGGTCCCCAATTATCGGAAACTCACAAAATCGCTGACTGCCGGCAAAGTGCACACGAAGCATGTGGTGCTGTCACTTGCCGTTGCCAGCCAAATACTGGAAGCCAGTTGAAAAGCCTTTCTTGAGGCGCACCTTGGTCAAGGTCGGGTCTCACAGACAGAAGACTACCACTTCTAGCACTCCTCCTTCTCCGCCTCCACGGCGACGACGACGAGTGGTACTACTGTACTACTTCTGCAAACAGATGAACGAATATGATGAGAACCATAGCAAGTACTGCCAGTGCCGGTGGCACAATGGTCAACAAGGACTACTGGGACTGCTGCTCCAGGCAAGGATGGCGTGGCAGTCAAGGACCCCAAAACAGTTACTCCCATGAACTTTAGCTATAGTATATTATCGTGTATGATAGTATATTTTAGAACCTTATAGTATATTATAGAGTATGTTATGGTATCCCGTAATCGCAGCTGGGCTGCCGATATTGACTTACGTCGCGTCTGCTCGCCAGGCTCTGGAAGGGCTGCCTCATCGTGCTTCTCTATCATCCTGGGCCGCAGAAGCAGTGTAGCTTTGCCAAATCATGGAAACAGAGCACTCTCTGAAACTACGACTGCGAAGGTCTTGAAGGTCTTGCAGCTTCGATGTGCTGCCACCTCCATGTGCAGCCCTGATCTGGGTCCAATCCGAGCACGCCCGACAACTGACGTACCCTTCACACTACTTCGAAGAGTGTGCTCCAACCCAATCAGTTCTCCGGATAAGAAGAGAGATTGAGATAGGAACTAGGAAAATGGCCCACCTACCACACGCATGATGACACACTGAATCTGAATAAGCAAGCTTTGCTCTATTTAAGGCCCAGGTCCCGGAGAGTCTGACATGAAAGCACTTCGGAATGCTTCGAACCGCGAGGGACCGACAGCGGGATTCGGAGGGATGGGGAGGGTGCCCCGGGGCCAACACATGTCGTATGATCATAATAATAATACTAACAATAACATTGATACGAATCAATACCCACAACAATGATACTATCGTATGATCATAATGCTAAGAACAACTGCAACAATACTCATCAATACCGACAACAGATAATACTCATTATCCACGAACGATAACAGTCGTAGTAACTGCAAAAACCACAAGAATACAACAAACTTAATAACAAGAAAGATGGTGCCGAACTGACACGAATACTACTAATAGTAATAATAATGATGAGAAGAAGAAGATTATCCTCACCCTTCACCGCAACTCCTGTCAAGCCTAGTCCCGATAAAAATCCTGTGCAGCGCAGCCACCAGCTAGGCAGAAAGCTTCTGATGGTGTCAGAGACTTGATCACCTGGCAGGTACCAACCCCGGACAGTCGGGCTCTGACGATCTGACCAGCTAGACTTCACACAGTGTGGCACAATCACAAGGATGCTGCTTCGTGATGGAACGGCCTTGGATGACATCGGTAAGCATGCCCTCCTGCTCTTCCAAGCTCTCGAGCCAGACCATGAAGAGCCTCTTCAGGCAACGAGCAAAGAGATGCAGTTTTTGAAGAATTGACACACTGATGTGTGTTGAATGGAAGACCTTATGATCTCAGACTGCGGAGCTCCCTGTCATGTGCAACAGGACTTCACCATGCAGTGAAGAATCCAAAACTGCCCCGTGCCTGCAATATTGAGCTACAATGCTGGCGACTGGTCTCACCTCGGCTTCCCATCAAAGCAGACTCTGCAAATAACAGTCTTGCCCTCCGTCCATCCTTCAACGTGGCAACGAGTCTGACCGCGCCACAACTTCGTCGGTATCCATAGCTAGACAGACCACATGCTGAGACGCGATGGACGAACCCCCCGATTCGGTTCTATGCAGTGGAGCAGCCACATTCAGAATGTTCTCGAAGGCCTTTCAATGAGCTGTGGCTCGTAAAGAATGCACACACCGACTGCTCTGGAAGCACCCACCCTGTCACACACGAATGCGGGAAAGACCGTCTTACCATCATCTTGCCTGCGGGTCTATCAGGAGCACTTCACAGTCAGTGTAGGCTTTGGCTTCGCCAACGTGATACCTGAGCTTTTTGGTGTCGTGGGGTCTCACGCCAGAGCCGAAGTACGTCGGCTTCTCCAGAGCAACCACTGTGAGGTCCGAGCCAGTTTTCTGTCCATAGCGAAGGCTCCGCAAGCCAGTCCTCGCCCTTGTCCACAAACTCCTCGTTGACAGTGCTCTCTCGGTGTCTGTTGTTGGTTTCTGGCTCTGTGTCTGTTGCATTCCGCCTTGATCTCGCCACTCTCAAGAACCCGGACATACTCCAGCCGACCAAAGGCCTTTCGGCTAAACCGCGGCAGACATTTGCTTTAAGAATGGTCAAATCAGCCTCTCCCAGTTTCAAGCAAAGCCCCGGGGCCCGGGCCACGAAGTACATGCCTCGACCCGCAGATCATTTTGCGTTTTTTCTCGAATCCAGCTCTGCGACATTCCGACGTGTCCCGTCATGCGAGCTAGCTACAGGTTGCATGCTGCTCCGGCAGGAAAAGAGTGTCGCCCTGCGCCATCTCCATATGAGAGACCGACTCCTGAGGAGCCCATGAAACTCAAGCAAACCTGCCCACAGAGTGTCTGCATCTTTTCGACAGAAGAGATGCTCTCCTTGGCCAGGCGGTTCATAGTGATGAACGAGAACCTCGGCAAAAGAATTCGCTCCAGGTCCCATATTACTCAGCGTGTTGTGTGCAAGCCAAGGCCCTTCGAAAAGCCACGTGTCATCTCAAGACTTGTGACTGTGAGTAGTCCACCCTCCCTCAAGGACCCTATAATACTAGCATTACCATGATTGTGGTACCCGTCTTGGAAGGCAAGCGTCTCGTTGAGGAAGTTGAAGAGAGGGTGCACTTTCCTTGGAGACCGAGGCCCAGAACTGCCGAGGCTGAAGGTTAAGGGCTTCGGGGGTTGGGGTTTGGGGCTTTAGGGTGTTGATAAAACTAATCCCGGCGAGCTGCATGTGTGGCTGGTTGATGGTGGACTGAAGCTCCTCCATCCTCAGATTCCCAGAAGTTGCCCTGGGTCCATGCTAAAAGGCGTCACTGCACGCATGGACTGGCCAAGCTGCAGCTGCTTGGATAGCAGAGAGAGGACCTTCACTTGGTTGATGGACATGGTCTTTTGCTGCCGGGTGTAAGCATACTCGACGAATCCTTAGCTGATTAAACTGGGGATCGTCCCAAAACAAGAACAAACTCTTCAGGTCGCTCTACTGCCAGGCATCGTTGAATTCGTGCGGCAAGTATGTGGTCGACCGAGTTCTGGTTCAAGAAGCGCCGCATCTGCCAGAAGTCCTTGGAGGCCTCGCGCTCTCGAACTCTGAGCACCGTCCGTCCTGCCCTCGCCCTGCCCTGAGCGCCTCTTCGGACATGGCTCGCAGCTGGCCGAGGCTTGCAGTTATGCTTCCCACAACATAAGCAAAGCCGACCTTGGAAATACAAAACCACGAGGCGGCATCCGAGGCACTCTTGCACCTGAAGCGATTGGCTGGATCTCTCGGGCCGGAACCAAGGCAAAAATCACAACACCGATCGTGAAGCCCCGCTCGATCTCGTTTGTCGGTGTGACGTCCATGCCTGGCTAGTGGAAGGCAGTGAATCCAAGAGTTAAAAACCATCAACTCCCGTGTTTATTCGATTCATTGGTTTTCCCTGGCTAGTCAGGGAAGCACGTCTATACATCCAAGTTGGGTTTACGAATCTACTCGCCTAACTTCTTTTCAATTAGTTGGCACCTGCTGGGGTGAACTGCGTGAGGCTCCAGTGCAGGGACACCAAGTACCTGTGCACTCTGCTATAGCCGCACATGCAAGGTCACGCCCTCTCGGCCAGAGCAATTGAGAACCGGACAGATGTACCCAGTCGAAAGACTCTAAGCTCATTGTGAGGCGCAAGGTGTCAACCCACGTGTTCACACCTGCACAAGCGGTAAAAACACAGCGCTCCATGCTACAAATTCGGGAATTGCTCGGCATCGGTCCTCCCGGCTGCAGATCTGCCAGCGCATACCAGGCACATGCAATCACGTGGTTCACCTCCGAGCGCACAGGTTGCAAGTGCCATCTCCACGCCAGAGCCCCTCCTTTCCCGGCATGTTGAAATCCAAATCCAGTCCAAGAGGCAGTGAAGAGCAGCAGCATCATCTTGAAGATATTGAAGAGCACCTTGAGCCACGCATGACTCATGTTGAACTTCTCGGAACTGAGCGCTTCATCTGACAATCTGGGGCAGGCTACACTGTAGTACTCAGAATCGAGGGCATCTTCGATCTTCTCGAACAAACCTGCAAGCTGAAGGTCGTGACATCACTAAGGCAAAGCCAAGAAGACTCCCTCAGCAGCCGAGTGACGCTTTAAGCGTACGAGTCTCAGCAAGCCTCGGTTCGGGCATGCGCAAAGCGATCATGCGGTGTTTCGAGGCTAAGCTCAAGCTGCAAGCAAGGCTCGGATTACTCGTGCAAGCCTTCAACGATGCAGGGCTCGCATCCACTTTGGGTAACAGAAGCTCAGCACTCCAGCCTCACGACCCGCAGCATCCGCACCTGTGCAAAGCTCACATGCTATGAAAGGCTTCTCTTTCAAACGAAGCAAGCAGTGCACCTCATTGCCAGAATCCGATGCAATGATGGTGAAGACCTCAGGTGGCGTGCCAGGCAACTCTCTTCGGAACAACTTTAACCAAAGGCCAAGGTTGCTGCCCAGTCCGGTCCAAGCACGACCAAGTCCACAATCTGAACACCGGATTCGAGCATCATGCCAATGCAAGAGGATCATGCATAGATGACACTGACACATGTGAAAAAAAGGGGCTTCAACACGCACGACTAGAGAAAGTAGCAAGCGCACTCTGCCGTACCCGGGCAAGCTTGAACAATCCCACATGTACGATATTCCCTTGGAACCTCGGCTCAACATATTAAACAAAACAGTGGTCCTTAGCATGCAGTCTAACTCTTTCAGGCAATTTGCGAACCAAGTCCTCAGATAGCGGAGGACCTTGGTGGGCAGAACAGTATTTTGCGACCCGGAGACACTACACAGACACAACCAGACAGTACGAGCAGACACAAAGCAGACAGGCCCCCGGCAATCAGTGACGGGTCCATGACCGTAATGCCTTCCTCGACCTAGGAAGTTAACAGAAGCTCTACGGCTTCTTATTGTGATTGTCTATCATACTTATTATGGCTGTTTTTGCTATTGGTGGTATCCTTGTTATTTATGAATATTGTTTTTACCAGGAGGACGGTGGTTTCCAGCAAGAACAAGCTTTAGGGTCTGTTTGGATTGAAATGGTTTGGAGGGCGCTGAGGTGAAGACGTAGCCAGTCGTAAGGGAAGCTCCCACATTCATCGTCCAATACACCAGCGTGATCCTTAGGTCTCATCCATTCAGCTTCTCTTGCGAAGCTTGCGATTTGCAAGGCCACTGGGCTACCTGGAATGCCGCACTGCTGCACATGACATGCTGGTTCACGCTCGGCGGCCAGTCCATCGCAAGGCCCGCTGTTGATTCCGGCGGACTTAGAAAGGCAGGAGCGCGCAGGGTCGAAGAGTGTGCACCCTCGCATCGACTGCGTGATTTTTCGTGACATGACGAGCAACTCAAAGGCTTGAAGCGGAACTGCAAAGAGGTCGTACATAATCAAGAGACCTCCCATCATGTCCTTTCACGTACTTCCAGCATGACTCAAACTGGTTTACCATTGCCCGATTGCAAAGGCAGCATGTTTACCATGATGGAAGCATGAGAGCGCCGTGCCCGGTCCCAAACCAAGCGGTGGAGGCTGCTGGGGTACGAGATCAGGCGACGTCTCCAGTCGGCCATGGCCTGAAGCGCGCGGCGCTTTTCAGAGCGGCTCGGCGGAGCTTGGCTCGGGCCGGGGCTTCTGTGTACCCATCGGACTCCTGTTTCGCCTGAGACGATCTGGGGCTCAGAGCAGCTCCAGGAAACCCCCACTGACCTCTGAGATTGGAATCGGCGAGGCCTGTGCTGAACCGGAGAGAGTGTCCTCCAATTCAATGGACTTGCCTCAGCTCTCTCCGTGGAACAAAATCAAAGAGCAACTCTTCGATTCGAACTAGTCAACCGTGAAGATCGAGCAGAAGCCATCTTTGGCGAGCCGCTTTTGCTAGCAGCTCTTCGTGTCACACGCATGGTTGTCCTGAGATGAAGGAGACAAGACACGCAAAGAAGCCCTCGATGTTCCCGAGTGCGCGGGTATGGTGTGGGCTGTATGGACAGCTGCAGGCTTCGCAGGGGACTTCTGTCAAGTCACACTTTGCTCTCCAAGGCCCATAGGCGGCGCAGGGGAAAGCGCTCGTCAGCACCTCGCAGAGGCAATCCGAAGAAATTGTCCAGCGGACCACTGAAAACAGGAACTACATGTTGGCAGTGCTCTCCACCTTGAGATCGAGAGCGGTGTGACGTGACGTTGGAGATACCGGAAACTGCGTTGGTGATTCGCTGCGCTGGCAAGTCCTGACAGGATGCGAATATTTTTTCATAAGGTTAATCAGTTTTTTAAGATGAATAATATGAGTGATATTATTCGTATGAATAATACGGATTGTATACTGTTGTTTCTTTCCTTTCCTTTTCCATATTGACCTGAGGCCAATGACCGAGTGCTCCATTCCCGCGGGCCTGATCGTCCTCCAGCACGGACACATCGCTTTCCGAACTCCGTGGAGTGGCATCCTCGTGCGCGAGCGCAGCCACTTAAGCTACTTGCTAGCCACAACAGGTTGGAAAATATTAGAACCTGGCAATGGTGCTTAGGAAACCAAGACCTGTAGCACTACAACCCAACCGAGGCAGTGGAAGGATGTCAGCCTCCACAACACAGTACCACCAAGGGCTCAGATGCAGTAACACCTGCGAATCGCTGACATGCTGGCCAGGTATCCAAGTCCCCCCTCAACTTCAGGGGCATCGCCTCGCAGCAACAAGTCGGAACTGCAGGCATGCAAACGAACGCTGTCTTCTGCCGTTCACGCAGTTTGCATGTCTCCCAACACAAGCCAGCTTCACGTCGGCCACCGTCCTGGCGGAGATGCTCTGCACCGACAGTACACTCAAGGAAGCAAGGTGATACACTCAGTACCAGAGGAAGCATGCGGCCAAGGAGCAACAGATTGGCAGGTCGTGGCACGGGCGGAGGAGAAGTGATCTCTTCCACTCGGATGCCTCGGCTGTTCAGACTCTGGACGTGAAGGTCCGATGAATGCCAGAGCCCGCAGTTCGGCCAGTTATTGCAGTCGACTGGCCAGAACCACTACAGATTGTGTCTGAATGGACTGGCGCTCGTACACGCGTTCCCCACTTCGTGTCTTCGTTCACCGAATTTGGCAGCCTCAGACCATGTTTCGGGCCAGTCTAGACCCACACGAGACCATAGCAGTCCTTGCGAGTGAGGCTGCTGAGGCAACGACGCGACATTCAAGTTGAAGCTGCATTTTGGGCAAGTCAGCTCGTGGCGCACCTTTCTATCAAAGAAAGCACGGCTTAGGCAAAGGTCTTCACCCACAGTAAAGTATCCGAGGTGTCCGTTTGGGTGTACCGAGGAACCCTGTCGACGTCTGCCGAGAGCCATGTCGGCACGGTGCGATTCAGCTCCTCAGAGCCCGTCTCTCCGTCACAAGCGGTCACACCCGCACCCGCCGCACCCCTCCCACGTCTCCTCTTCATGACATTGAGAAAGCTGATCCAGCAGGCGCTGAAAGCGCTGAGATGGCCGCACGCGTTCGGAAGCCATTGCGACTGCTCGTTCTCTCTTAGTTGAGCTATGCACATACGAGGCTCTAATTGGCCAAGTAAGACTGTCTGCAGTCTGAAATGGGTTGGGTTGAAGTGCGGCGCCGTTGCCGGCCGTACGCGAAGGCCTGCCGGGCCCCTTAGGACTTGCTATTGGGCGTGCGTCCATTGACTTTCCATCTGTCACCCACTCCCTCTCTAATCTTCGAGGCACGGAAGCCTGCATGGCCGTCGGTGATGCATTTCAACACATCCGAGCTCTGAAGAGAGACTCCAGCAACAAAATCTCCGACAGACTGAGCAAGCAGAGGCTTCGCCGAGTACGACTTTTCTTCAAGCCTTTCTCTTCGTCTTCGGCTTTGCCTTCGCACTGCTCGCTTTTGTGTGGAGCTGCGATTTTTGTCGAAGCGCGGCACTTGCCGAGGGGTCATCCTGGCAACGGCGCGGAGTGAGTTCAAAAAAGCGCTTCAAGCGGCATCCGGACAGGCCGTTCCTGTGAGTCCTCGTCTTGGTCCTCCGGATCCTTCTGCCTATCCAGCAGTACCTCGCAAATCCACAGAGGGAGAGAGAGGCAAAGCGAAACAAAAGGAGAACAGCCGTGAAAGCAATGGTCTTCAGATACGATGTACATGTACGATGCAGTGTGGGTGGCCTGCAGGTCATGCCCGTGCTTGCTCAACATGTGGGCATCGTCATCACCTGGCACACTTCGACAAGGATGCAGATTTTCCTCCACATTCCTAAAACATAGAACACACACATGCATACATGCATACCCTATTTACCCTACATACCCTACATACCCCACATACCCCGCATACCCTACATACCCTACATTCCCTACATCCGTACATACGTACATGAATACATATGCCATATACCATATATATATATATATATATATATATATATGTATATATATATGTATATATATATATATGTATATATATATATATATGCGCATATATGCACTTCTAGTTGTATGTGTATATATATATATATATACATATCGAGGACCGAGGGCCGAGGGGCTGTCGGTTTCCGCTCCTTCCTCGGGAGCCAAGACCTGATTGCCGTCAGGCACAACAAGCTCGCGATGCTTCTCCTCCGTATCCTCCTCGAAGATTAGGGTTTGAGTTTCAGGGTTTCTTTCCAGTTTAGGGTTTTGGGGCTTTGGGGGCTTTAGGGGCTTTAGGGCTTCGGGGTTTAGGATGCTTGAGAATTGGGTCAGAAAATCACGCAGGGCTGCGTCCTCCTGATCGTCGGAGAACTCGTCGGCAGCTTCAAAATCCCATAAGGCTTCGCCTACCAGGCTCAGATTCTCTTGACGTCGAACGCTCGAGACTCGTCCAATTCGAGAGAAGCGCCGAGATGTCATGGCCTGTTTCAGACTTGAGCTGCTTCAGGGTATTGGCAGTCTCAGGCACATCTACATCCTCCCCATCATTCTTGGCCTGACTTTCACCAAGAAAGACGAGGGAAGATGGATGGCAGCGCACGAAAAGCAGACGAAGATTCCGAGATTCAGACCTTCGCCTTTTTGTTTTTGGCCTTCAACCTGCGGTTCTCCACCCGCTTCTCGCGCAGGTGCTCCGCGACTGATTTGAGGATACCTTGGAAAAAACGTGAAAGCAAGCGCCCGCTAAGTCAAAGTCAACCGCGTAACTGTTCTTCAATCAGAGATTCTGCCATCCGTGTCCCAGTTCATCTGCTCCAACTGTCCAGGGTGTTGCAGCAGGTCCGTCCGCACTTGCTGCTTCCTTGGCTTTGCCAACTTTGAAGATAACTTGTGTTGCCATGAAAGGTACAGTAGCACCGTGTCTTATGCCTTCTGCCGGCCAAGAAGGTCGATATTTCACACTCACAGCCAGGACTCTGCTGAAACGACATCTGCTCCAGCCCTTCAAGCTCTCTCAGGCAGCGCCTAGGCTCAAAACGCAAGGAACATTGAATTGAAATACAGCCAGGTGTGCAGGCCAACGTGCATCTGAGTTCGCTTGTGCGCCTGTATGTGCACATGTTTGTGTTATTCTGCTGTACATGCGACAAACCTGCATTCACATGTCAACTTTTCATTGGCGTTTCTGTTTGAAAACCTTTGTAGGTACCTGCTTTGACCCATGGATTTTTCTTGTTTTCATGCTCTTTTTGCTTTTAAGTTTGCAGGGGGCGCGAGGTCCTTTGACAAAGCTCGCGCCAACGAAGCTCTTTGTCATATGGACAGGTAAACGTACCTGCGACCAGTTCCTGGGTGCAAGAGCGCAGCTGGATTGGTCACATTTGAAACCATCATATTGCTTTTCGCGGTTGTTCGAAACTTTTTACCTTACTTTGCTTTCTGAAAACTCGGACATGTCTCTTGAAGCTTTGTACGGTTGCTGCAATCTGTCTGTGCACCATCATGAGAGTCTATGCATTGGACGATCAGAACATCCAGAAGGCGGGTCAGTGGGAGACTTTCCAGTTGTGTTCGGCAAGAGCTCCCTCACGAGGGCCTTGTCGCTATTCGGCGAAGTTGCCGGCCCACCGGGGTTCTTGTGTTAGCAGCTCCGGAAATCAATTCCGTTTCACAACATGTTCAAGTGGAGATCACTGAGTGGAAATCACATTTCTGGAAATCAGATCGGAGTCGCATTCTGGAGTCGCTTCTGGAGATCATTCCGGCTTGAGCTTTGCAGTCAGTTGTTGTTCTCATTTCCTGCCATGGATCGTGAACGCTCCCCCCGCCGCAACCCCTTCTGGAGCTCCTCCTTGCCGGCTTCGGTCCCACCTACCCCTGAGAGTTGGCAGCACCCTGCACCCCGACCTGCCCCACCAGTGAACAGACCGGCAGTGCTTCAGCCACAGAATCTTACGTGGCAACCCAATCCACGTATTGCTCAGATTATGAACATTTCGCCAACCCCCCGCATTCCAGGCCTCCCATCCCCACCTGCTGCAAACTCCCCGAGAGTCTTCGGCCCGATGATGCCCGCTGAGTTTTGCCAGAACCCGAACTATTTGGATTCCCGTTGTATTGCAAGCTTGAACTTGGCTCGTTGGGTAAAGAAGACTGACTGGACAGTTCGAAAGCAGATTGATGGATGTCCGACCCATATGATACCGCTTCACTCGTTGCTCTATCAAGGTTGGAATTCGTATTGGGTGCGCCATATTGCCGAAGGAAAGCCGACTTTCTTTGCAGGCTTCAAGTCGATCGGTGAAGTTGTATTTTGCCACGCCTTGTTCGGAAAGCTGCGAGATGAAGACGTCGACTTGGATGAGCTTGCTTCTATTGTGCTTGGTACCAGTGACCCGCTTCCAAGAGCAGCGGTTCGGACTCCAAGTCACAGGCCACACACTTGTTGGCACAGAAGGTTGTTGACTACATGCTAGGTCTGTATCCTCAGGCCTCTGTTGACACAGAGAAGGCAGCCATGGCCAATCAGATCCAGATTCTTCAACAACAACTTGCGAATTTCGAGAATGCTTCCCCCTCCCGATCTTCTAATCAAGAGGTTGCAGTTCCGAAAACGTTGCCGATTGAAGAAAGCCCCCAAGGACGTGTGCCGGAGTCTGCGCCCGCAGCTCAGAAAGTTCCGGATGGTGCCACTCGCCTTCTTCGTGGTCAGACGGCTGAGCCCAAAACTAGTCTCATGCAGGCATTCCAGAAAGGCAAACCATCGGGGAATCATGCAGAACCTTTGAGTGTTGAGCCCGATGAAGCTGAGACCCAGGGTCGCAGCCCAGGCAATTCGAGTTCTGCTCCTCAGCCTGAGTATGGAACATCCTCGCATGTTGGACAGGTTGTGAAGATTGTTCTCACGGATCCCAGCAAACGTCACTTCTTGAGTCGCAGTTGGAAGGCTTGCAAGTCGGACAAAGAAGTATCGACGTGGATTGAAGGATTGAACTTGAGCAAGAACAATCGACAGAAGCTCCAGACATGGACAGCTCATGTCCAACGATGGCATGCGGACCTTCCTTCCAATGAACAGGCCGAATTGGATCAGGTTGTTGCCAATTGGGGCGTACCCATCCGTGATATTCCCAAGCTTAAGGCGAATTCTCTGCTCCGTATTCTTGCTGCCGGAACAATTCTTGTGGCTTGACTACAGGCCATACTGGATGCCAGGGACGTGTATCGCATCGACAATCCGCCACAAGGTTGGTGGAAACGGCACCGAAGTGAAGTGGATTTACTTCGGAATGCTCATCTATTTTTCCAAGGTCTCTACGAGACACCTACCATGTTCGGACGACAGTGCATGGACATTGTTATTTGGATCCGTGGAAAACTCCTTTTGCTTGCTTGTGAGTTCGGGCTTGTACAGTCGCCATTGACCTCTCAGCTACGTTTAAAATGCTCCAGCTACACCTGGAAATTCTTTCAGACGCAGTCGGTGATTTATTGTCGCATCTTTCTCCAGCCTGAGTTACAGAAATTCATGTATGTCGGATCATCATCCCAAACACTGGGCGACCGTGAGCGTACAAGATGGGGGAAATTCCAACAGATCAGGGCCGGCAAGTCAGTGTGCGGTGAACTTTCGCTGTTTTGGCATTATCGACGACAGAATTATCACATGGCCATTCCTCTGTTGATCATGCATGTCCCACAGGTCGATTGTTTGCACACGATTGAGCAGACATTTATCAATTTGCTACAGCCTCACCTCAATGCTCCTTGGGTTCGCTCTCTTGTCAGAGCAAAACATGCACAGATTGCCAACTCGGATCCAGTCAGATGTGTTCGCAGATTTGTGACCTCGTGGAGAACCTTTCGACGCTTTCGACGTCGGAATTTCCAGCTCACTGGACTGACTCCTTCGGTCTTCCGTTCGACACACATTGTTCAGAACATTGTATACAGTTATCAGATTCTGTTTGACTTAGCTTCTGACGGGTTGAAGTCCTTTCTTGCCCAAAAATATCTGCGCAGCAACCGAGTTGACTCGGATTTTCTCTACAGATTATTCAGGATGGCCACTCATCTGGGTGACCCGTTCTATGAGACGATCTGCAGGTCCAGATTGAACACTGTGCTGCAATTTCGACAGTTGAGGTGCCCAACTACATGCCGCCCCCTTTCCACTCCGTTCTTGCTGCCTGAAGTAGGCTTCAAACGCTTGGTTCGTGGCATGTTGGGAGATATTTTGGATGTATCGACGGATCGACTGCTGCCGTACCACATTCCAGCGACCTCGCTCGTTGCCAAAAGTCACCCTAAAATCAAGGATGTGTTGTTTTCGCATAAACCAATCCTGCAGTCGTGGGACCCGCACGAGGAGCCGCAACAGGCTGGTGTCACATGTTGCTGCCATGAACTTCTTCGACGTCATCCACACCTGACTGTTGTCCAGGGTCACATTGCTTCTTCTGCCACGTTGTTGACCCTGCCACCTGATTTGACTCAGTTGGCCCAGTCCAGTTGCTCCAATCCGGTATTCATGAACGCCACGGATCATTGGACGATGTTTCTCGAAGACGTGAGGCATTGGATTGATTATCATGGCTTGATGCATTATCCGACTGTTGATATTCGAAGTGTGTGGCAGAAGGCATGGAAGATGCACTCACAACACGTCGGAACACATTGGTCGGTTGATCAGGTTCGTGAGTTGCGAAAAAGGACCAAAGGATTGGTGTGGCATGTCCGAGATCATGAAGGCTCGCATGCGCATGTTTTCTGCCCTGTGAAGTATTGGATGATGCTCCAGAACACTTTTACTGCTGAATCGGTCTTCAAGCCATTGTCGTTAAATCCTTCGACAATTATGGTCCAGATGGAACATGCAGTGCCACCTCGGATTCTTGAATCCTTTCCCTTCCGTTTTGGATCTCGTGCTGCCCGTGTGTCATGGGCTTACATTCTCCCCAAGTTCAAGAAAGAATGGAAAGGAGGCAGGCCAATCGTTAGTTTTGCCTCTCACCCGGCTCGCCAGTTCTTGGTTGTGATGGCGCGAGTCACAGAGATGCTTGTTGCTGAGGTGTGTCCTCACACCCGATCTTACAACGATGCAATCTTGCTTTGGCAGAACATACACGCTTTCTTTGAGAAGCGATGTCACAGCTCGGATCAAGACAGACAGAAGCTTGCCATGCACAATCAAGACTTGTCAGGTTTTTTCGTGAGCATTCCACGGGAGCGGTTCATGATTACCTTTCGCATATTGCTTTGTCGTTTTTACGACGTCTCGGATGCGGATCTTGATCATGCCTTAAAAGGCGTTGTGGTGACTGTGGACTTGGAAAACAACATGTCGGTTATGAAAACTATCCGTGGTCGGCATTGCCTGTTGAATGACAAACGAGTTGCCGTCCCAATGGACCTATTTCTGGAGGCTGTACAGGTGTCTTTCAAGTTCAATCTATTCATGGTGGGTCAGCAGGCCATTCAACAAATCCGAGGTGCACCGATGGGAAGCCATTTCTCCCCGGCAGCTTGCCATGCCGTGGTAAGCCTATACGAGCACATGTACTTTGGAAAATGTCTGTTAGAGTCTTCTCGCTTGCCAACCTTCGGCCTTGTGGTTCGATACGTGGACAACCGGATGAGCTTGATTCTTGATCGCCAGGCCAACTATGCTGCTGTGCAAGCGTTTCTGCACCAGGATGTATACATACCGCCCATCGTACTTGAGTATGAGGATGGAGACCTTTTCTTGGGTTTTCATGTGGATGTACAGGAACTACGAGTACAGTATGTCCAGCCTGTTGAGACCTGGAAGTTCTTACACCCCAATTCTGCCGCCAACACACGGACACTGTTAAGCAGCTTTCGATCCAGAGCTCACCTGATTGCACGTGCTTCTTGGCCGTTGGAACAGCGTGAGGCCGATCTTGATCAGCTATTGCAGTCCTATGTACGACAGGGATTCGATCCGCTGATGATGTACCCCATTCTGAAA